GTTTCGGCCTATAAGACATCTCCCCGTGAAGGAAGGGGCAAAGCTACGGGGCCTGAGACGTTTTCGGGAGGAGGAAACGGAGGCGAGCTCGGCCGGGAGCGGAGTAGAGGGAGACATTACCCGACAGATTACCTGACAGATTACACTAGAGATTGCTTTACAAGACTTTCTCGATCGCGACCTATAGAAACATTGTATAACAGAACTTTGCCATCGATCGCGACTTAGCATTACACTACAGAACTTTGCTACCCATCGCGACTGAGAGAAACATTACATTACTGATCGGGACTTGTAGGAGAAAAGACGTGGCTCTTAGCTAAGACTCGGTGGAGTGAGGAACATTGTTAATTTCGGCTCGTAGGGCTGAACTTTGCCACCGCGCGCGATTTTTCACGATCGATATCAAAATAATAAATTATGGAGTGCTACAAGAATCAATCCTAGGGTCCATACTATTTCTATTATACATCAATGACATGCCCCCGACCCTACAAAAGAGCGAAATGGTCCTATTTGCAGATGGCACAACATTATTATTAAAACAATTACCCAACCAACTCTCTAAAAAGAAGCACAAACAGTTCTAGAGACATTAGTAAAATGGTTCCAGGAAAATAAACTCATCATCAAAAGTAGTAAAAGTGTCTCCGTAAACTTTTGGAATCCACTCTCTAAAGAAAAGCCTCCAGCACCATTGATGGTAAAAAACATGCCAGTAATAATAACCTAAAAAACAACTTTCCTTGGATTGACTATTGAAGATGATCTAAATTCAAACTCTCGTATCACAAATCAAAACAACAAGCTTACCAAGTCATGTTATACCATATACATCCTGAAGTCAAATTCAAACTTATATATACTGCAAATGGTGGACTTAGCAAATGTTCACTCACACCTAAAATACGGAATAATATTCTGGGGAAATTTCCCAGAAAGTATTCACACTTTCATCATCCAAAAACGAAAATTGATAACAATGACAAACACTCACAAACATGAGTCCTGCAAACCACTGTTCAAAAAAATTATAAATACTACCCCTCCCATGCATGTACATACTTGAAATAATAATCTTCACAAAGAAGACACTTATAGGAAACAAGGATTTGTTACTCTGAACACAGAGGTTCATAATTGTGATACTAGACAAAAAAGAAATCTGCATGTTCTACACTGTGAAACTTCAATTTTTCAAAACAGTACCCTTATAGAAGGCATTACACTATATAATGAACTTCCTAGCGGATTTAAAAGCTTAAACTCTTTACACACATTCAAAAATAAATTGAAAGCTTTCCTGTTAAACCACACATTCTACAGTACAAAAGAATATATGCATCATAAACACGTATCTACATCAATATAAACTAGTACTAATAATTTTTGCTTTTTCTGTCGCATGTTTTCAAATCCTCCTAAACTGGTTGTTGGATATAAAGGACAGACCCAGCCTAGGCACAAACCTATGAAGAATTTCTTTTTTATTATTATTGATTTTCAACCTAAGTTTTCGTACACTACCATTATAAAATTAATATTAATATATATTATAACCTTACATGATATTGTATTTAATATGAAAATTGAACTTTAAATTTAATTTATATCTTGTATTTAATTTTTAGAAATATCTGTGTTGTGTATTGTATGACTATTTACATATCCTGACTTGTCATTCACGGCGTATGCTGTATTTATGTGACAAATATATTATTAATATTATTACTATTATTATTATTATTATTATTATTATTATTATTATTATTATTATTATTATTATTACTACTACTACTACTACTACAACTACTACTACTACTTTTAACTCAAATTTGTGAACCGACTTCAATTTTTAATGTCGTCTGGCAATGCGTTGTAAAGTAATGTACATGTAACGTAACGTAACGTAACGTAACGTATGTGAATTACTGGTCGTGAGATGTTGATACAGATACTTAATGACCGTGTTTTCTACTACGTGTGTTGTAATTATAAATATCAGTATTGCATGAAAATATGTTCCGCCGTTAAGTAAATTAGTTTTGACAAATATTACAGATTCGTAAAGAAATAGGCAAGACAATGGTAAGATTGCAAGCTCAATGGAGAGGCTTGCAGGGATCACGCAGATGGCATTTTTCATTATTCGAATAATTTTCTATTGCAATCTAAAGGTCTAAGTACTACATGATGAGTTTCCCTCGAATATTTGCCATATCTCAGGCGGAATGCACGTTTGCGAAATATACGCAACGAGCTGCATGAAGGCTGACATAATTCTGAATGCGTAATATAATGAACTTAATTTTGTATTTGATTCTGTTATGTATACACTCCCTTTGAGGCTTGACTGAATCGAGAGACCTACATGTTAACCTTTGTTACTTTAACATCAGCTAATTGAGTATTGTTCGTTTTCAATGGAACATGCGATGGCTGATTTTAAATGCAAAAATTCATTGAAACTGTTTTTTTTTTTCGTTAATTATTTGTTATTACAAAACCAATTTGAAACTTCAAAAATCGAACTTTTTATTGTCTCATTTTGAGAAGAACATACACGTCATCGGCAAACAACCGTTCTTCCGTTTTCAATAGACGACCGCATATCGTTTACGTATAACAGAAAGATAATAGGACTTAAGATCGAACCTTGCGGGATCCCAAATTCAATTGGTAAATAATCCTAAAGAGAAGTAAATAAATGTCCTTTCGTGCCAGTACGATATTTCTACTCATTGAGATTGATGTTTAAGGCACGATATCCAATGTAGGGCGAAACCACGATTTCCATTAGAAGGTAATCTTGATAGCATGATGTTCTGGAAAATAACGTCAAAAGCTTTCGAAAGTTCTTAAAATATTCCAACGGGCGCTTCATTTCGGTCCATTGATGAAGCAACATCTTTAAGAAAAAAATGGCAGTTTCCGTAGATTTTGATTTTCTAAAACCGTGTTGTGAGTCTGAAAATGCTTCGTTT